TGGACCCTGGACACCTCTTCACTGGACCCTGGACACCTCTTCACTGGACCCTGGACACCTCCTCACTGGACCATGACACCTCCTCGCTGCTGTGAGGGGAAGGCAGACAGACAATCCACAGCCAGCTGCAGCTGCACTCTGGGGCTAAGAGGTCTGTGTCATAGCACCAAATAGAAGCTATCTCAGCATTGATGATGCCTTCTAGTTACAGAATTCAAATTACGTTGGAATCTTCAAAGCACCCAAACATCCACGTACAACGTATTCATAATATGTCTCCTTATAAGCCACGTACTTCAAAATAGATCTCAGCCTTCAGAACGAGAGTAAGAAAAACCACATAGAAATCTTATGAAAATAAAATAATAATCAACAGTGGGGTTGCTCAGAAACTGAACTCACCTTGTTCTTTATCCAAATGGATAATTCCCCCTCTCACCAGCAGATTTGCCAAACCATTTAATTTTATGTCGGAAACAATGCTTTGTTTCTCCCGAGTTGCTAAAACTGTACTCTAAAATCCTGTAGCTTAAAACCTTAGCTATACTCCATTTATTTGTATAAAATATATAAACATCTTATTTTTGGAAAATGTTTAAATGCATTCACATTCCTTAACCCTTCTCTTAAGTATGATTGCTTTCCCAAGGATTTTTTTCCCATGAATTATCTAGTTCAGATAAACTTTGAATAATATTTTGAATTTCCTTTCCTCTTTAATTTGAGAACTTAAATGGTTTTGTGTCATTCTCAAAATCAAAGCTCCAAAATATTGAAGCTTCAGGGTATAGACATCTTAAGATATTTCTCTAGAATGTTTTTTGGAGAAACACAGATATCCCTCACTAGACTGCAAGAATCAGAATCACACCTTCCTAAGATCTCAGAATCCGAAGAGTTGCCCAAGGCAAGCAGATTCAAAGGGAGAAGAGAGAGGATTGACCTTTACTGAGCACACACAAATCTGCCCCCAGTTTTTAGCCCCTCGGTTCTGCCAGCTGCTTCTCTTGAAGAAGTGGGTGCAGCTGTGATAAGTCTCCCCTGACACAGAGGCGAGAGCTGGTGATGAGGAGCGCTGACGCACACACAGGTCGGTGTGCAGGGGCCGGCCGTGACCAGCCACAGGACAGCCCTCACTAAGCCCTCACTAGGTGGGAAGGCCTCCCAAAGTCTGGCTTTCATGAGTATTGTGTGACTGAGTCGTGTAGAATGTAGTCTACGTGCTATGAAATAACACGGTTTTTGTTACCACGTTGGAGTTATTTAGGGTCATCAAACAACAGGATTCAAAAGCAAAACAGCTGGAAAACCCAACAGTCTGGTCTAACCTGGGATGCTCTGTCTCCTCACAGCCAACGCTCCATCAGGCGGCTTTGTCTGGCTGGTGGACTTAGTGTAGGGGCTCTCATCTGCAAAGCACAACGAAGGTTTGGTTAATTTCCGTCCAGCTCCTAACAAGGTGAAGACTTTCAGTGGGTGCAACCCTTCTGCCGGAGAGGTGGCCTGGCACAGCAGGCAGAGGGGTGACCTGGGCCCTATACCTGGGTTGGGCAGGGGACACACTGGAAATGCCGTGGACGTCAACTTCCTCCCAGGGAGAGAGGATGCAGTTCTCCTCCACGTCTGGGGGCTGTTGGGATCCAGCGTTGTAGTGTGTGTGAGACATTCATGAAGCATTAAGAAGTATGAAGTATGGACACGGAGGGTGTGCCCATCATCTGCACTCACGGCTCACAGAGTCAGTGAGTGTGTGTGACAGAAAGACAAAGAGGAAACACAATGGCTCAGTGGGCACTAAGAATAATCAGGCAGAAGAAGGAAGGAAAAGGGAAGTGGGGTGATCTTTTAGAGAAGCAGATGGCGGAGCATCCGTGCCCCAGGGGAGCAGACACAGAGGTAGCAGGCTCCTCTGGAGGGACCTCAGTGCGCAGCGGGGGACGGGAAGTGCAGAGGGAGACCAGGGAGCCGGCTCAAGAACAGGGAAGAAAGAAGACATGTATTATGATGGACTGATCCGTCTTCTTTTGGAAAGAGGTGAAAATAACCCACAGGTTCATGAAAAGAGCAGCAGAGAAGAGAAAGGATCTGAGTGAGGCTCAGTGTCGCTGAGAGTCGGGCAAGAAGCTGAAAGGGTTAAAAAGAGGGAGACAAGATGACGGGCAACGGGCCACCAAATTCTAAGGAAGGTGGTTTTTTTTAAACCTAAAAAAGGATTTAATCTGGCTTAGAATACAGGAGCAATGATCTAGGATGGCAAATACTAGGGTTAAAATAGGAAGGAACACTTCTGCCTGACCTGGATGGGGATTTGTACAAAGTAAAAGATGTTTAAGTAACAGCTTTAAAATCTCAACAGTAGGCTATGCAAGGTTTGAGTACAGAAGGTGAGACAATCGCCTGGCCTACTCCGTCAATGAGATGACCCAGACGCCACTCTGGACACACTGCAGGTTTTGTTCATTATGGTTGTTGTCCTTTGAGCAGGAAATCATTAAAGCATTAAAAAGAACATATTGTGCAAAGAAAACAACAAAATACAACAGGGGGCTTCATTCAGGGACGAGGCTTTATCAGCCGAGAACACGAATTCTCTCAGGAAGTGGCCTGTGCTCCAACATCGAGGAGCCCCTCCCGCCCTCACCAGGCTGCATTTCCAGGTGACATGATCCACAGTCTCGTCATAAAGCTAACGAGGTCTTTACAAGCAATGACAAAAACGAGAGATTAACACTGCTGTGAGCAGCAATTAATGCAGAAACGACAGGCAGGCTGTTTACGTTGCCGTGCGATTTGCCCATGATTCTCTACGAACCTCCAACTCTCAACGCCAACCTGGGCAACACCGTCATTCTGCTCTGGACACAGTGCCTCCCTCTATGACCACTCCCTTTGCAAACACAATTTTGAGTGTTATCAAGAACCACAGTCAAAATGTACACATTTCACTCAAAGTCTCCATTTGCCCACTGTTCCACTGTGTTAACTGAATAAGCAGGCAATGTGCTTTATACCATACTATTAAAACAGACTTGCTATGTACTGAAACCTGGGGTTCTTTATCAGACTGCTTTAAACATGTATTTTCTTTCACCAACCCAAACTCTGAAGTTGCATATTTAGAAGCACAGAGCATGGACGGGGAGACGGCTGCAACCTCCCTGCTCCTGGAAGCTCCAGGCTTCCCCTGGTTTCCAATCTGTCAAGATGCCAGTCAATTAAAGTCTTGGATTGAATCCAGTGTTGGGTTTTCTTAGAGGGCAACACAAGACTTGCCCAGGAGACTCGGGGGTTATCTGCACTTAATGCTCTATTTTAAGGAGCTGTTTCTTTAGAAATTTGCCCAGTTTGTACTACACGAGTAGTCAATCCTGGTAAATGATTTTCTCATTTATATTTGAAAGCACTTTCCTGAATTTACAGCTGAGACAGTCTAGCTGTGCACATCCCTAAAAGGTTGAAAATGAATTATGGATGGCCACCTGGCCAGCCTCCACCTCACCACCCAGCCACGCTCACTCCCATCAGCACAAGTATCTGCTGAGAATTAGCAAGCGTCCCATAATTGTCTAGAAGCCAAGGGTTGTAGTGGTCAAAAGACCACCCTGAGATAAGCTTGGTGTCACCTAAGAACAGCTTACCAAGTCAACTGAGGTGAAAACAGTAATTCCTAATGCAAGTGAGCTGGAGCTTGGCGACACCCACTGTGAGAATCAAGGCGGGCACAGCACCCAGGGTTTCAGGAGACTTTCCCTAACAATGTGTCTACTGCTGGTCGTTTATTAAAAGCTGCGCATCACAGAATGGACATAAGCTCTCTTGATGTGATTTACTAAAAGTCAACTTTTTTTTTTTTTTTTTTTGCAGTTTTTGGATGAGGCTGAGTTTGAACCTGCCACCTCCAGTATATGGGGCCAGTGCCCTACTCCTTTGAGCCACAGGCACCGCCCCAAAGTCAACTCTTATTTATTTAAACAGAGACAGGGGCTTCCTCTTGCTCAGTTGGTCCCAAACGCCTGAGCTCAAGGGATCCTCCCGTCTCGGCCTCCCAGGGTGCTGGGATTGCAGATGGCTCACCATGCCCGGCCAAAAGTCAATTCTGGACGCAAACTTTGAAAACAAAAATGGTGAGAACACAGTGAGTAACAGTGGCCGGGGGCTCTAAGATGTTGACAAAGGGACGGGCATGTCCCCACAGAGCCCTGGGGAGCTGCAGGCTCTCACCTTGTCTTCTCATGTGGCCCCTCACTGCAGATTTGCACATACGTCCCACAGCTTCACACTTATAAGGCCAAGCTGGACCATTTTTCCATGATAGTTTGGATGAGACCCAGAAAGTTAAATCTATAGACGGACACAGTTCTAAACGGACTCTTGACTGCATTCCCACACTCCCTCCTTTTATTGTTTCCTCTCGGATAAACAAGATTCCTGGTCACTGGGTCTACGTGTTGCTGATTGTGCAAGGAAGGGACCGGACACACCGTCCCTCTGAGACCCCATGCAGGCCTCATGGCCAGCTAGCTTCCATGTGTCAAGCTCACTCTCCTCCACTTTGCTTGCTTTAAGGGGCAGAAAACTGAGAGTTCCCTACGCAGTCCAGGCCAGCACAGCCCACTGTCCCCCGAGTGAGCCTCAGAAGTGTTCTGAATCATCAGAGCTATGTGGACACTTCCCTCTGTCTCATGGGGAGAGACTGGCTAGAACTTCACATAACTAGGAAAACACCCTCTGCAGGTGGTGTGCCTGGAAGGCGGCCACGCACTCAGTGTCTGCTGGCAGGTGACACAGATGCCCTGAGGGAAGGCAAGCATTTGCTGTGAGTCATGCTTCTCTCTACCTCTGATTTTCTTTTTAAGGTTTTTAGCCTGTTCCTTTTAAAGTCACACCATCACCCAATACCTACTGAGTGTCGACTTACGGTATGTGAGAAGCCTCACATGGATATTGGATAAATATCCATGGATAAAATGGATATTAACATATATTTCCTTTCATTTTTATTCAGACTATACAGGGATTTATTAACCAACCTTTAAAACGATGCCTTTAAACAAAAGAATTCCGGTTTTGGTGTCAGACTCACCCTCGACTTTGACGGTAGATCACGCTAATGAGGGTCCTTGCTGAGAGTCACCGTGGCGACGCCCGGCCAGCGAGCTGCTGGGCACTGCAGTGAACCCTGCAACATCACTCAGGATGTCTCAGAGCATCGGAACTGCAGCCCCTCTGATGACACCTTGAAGCTGGATGTCACTGTCACACTTGATGGCCTCTGGTCACGGGGGCTGCCACAGGCTTACATGAGGAAGATGGAGCCCCTTACGGGAGCAGCCTGAGGGTCCAGGGAAAGTGCCCTCCAATAGCAGGGAGGGTGATGTGATAGGCACAGAAAGGGCTCAGTCAACCTACACTCCAAACAGAAGGGGAACGGCGGGGGACCATCTGTCCCTCTCGCTCCCCCTAGCTCGGCCAATCTTGTCATGGGCCAGACGCAGAAGGGGCAAACACGGACCATTTATTTTGATGACACATTCCAAGGGAAGCTGGTGTTTACCACCTTGCATGGGAAACAGCAGGCTCCTTGGGGCCAGCCCTCCCCTCGGTCCACACACAGCTGGTGGGCAGAGCAGGTGCTCAGGAGCTGAGTTCTGAGTCCTCCAGGCCTTGCCTGGGATCTAAGGCATTCATGGGCCCTCAGGCTGGTTCCTGGCTCTCTTGTCTCTTGCCTCTCCCACCCTCAGGGTCTGAGCTCCCCAGAGGAACCAGCTATGACTGTGGCTTTAGAAATCTCTAGCTCTTCTCAGAGCTTTGTGGAAGAAACCAACTTTAATTTCCTTTGACTGAGCCTAATCACCCTGAGCCTAATCATCCTGGCAGCTGATTATACACAACTGAGGCACCCACCAAGCCAATAGATTCCTTAACTTCTTGATTAGGTGAAAAGACATTTTACGTAGTTAAACATTATAACCACTTCCTAGCCGTGGGAGACAGGTGGCTCATGCCACAGCCCTCACCCTGTCAACGTGAACTAGGAGAAAACTCTGTTTCCTGAATGAAAGTAAAATCCATTGTCAGGCCAAGAACCTGTCTCTGGAATTCAGTTAAATTCCACACAGTTTAGTGCCCACTAGGTGCAAGACTCAAAGTGGACTAAAGCTCGGGAACCTTCAGAGGGGATGGGGATCAGGGATTCTTACTGATGCTCAGGTGGAGGGACCAGTTGCCTGATGAGGGGGATGCCAAGGGGCTCGGGAAGGGAAAGGGAGAGAAGGGGTGTGCTGTGATGGGGTCACCCAGAATTCTACAATAGGAAATCCAGTAAACAGGTCATTTCGGCTAAGGTGGAACTTTCGCGTGTGGGAAACTGTCATCTTCCACAGCTCATGTGCTGTGGACCCATCATCCC